ACCCTACCTCAAAACCAGTAAAACAAAAACTTCGACGGATGAAACCTAATGTTGCATTAAAATAAAAGAAGAAGTACAGAAACAATTGGACGCTGGTTTCATTCGCGTATGTAATTACCCAGAATGGGTGTCGAACATCGTCTCAGTCCCCAAAAAGGATGGACGAGTTCGCATGTGTATCGATTTTAGGGACCTTAATAACGCTAGCCCTAAAGACGATTTTCCTCTACCACATATTGACATATTGGTAGATAACACGGCTGAACATGCGATGTTATCCTTAATGGAGGATACGCAGGTTACAACCAAATTTTAATGGCAAAAGAAGACGAAGAAAAGACATGCTTTATTACCCCTTGGGGTAAATATTGCTACACAGTCGTGCCATTTGGTTTAAAAAATGCAGGAGCTACGTACCAAAGAACGACTACGACTCTCTTGCACAATATGATGCATAAAGAAATAGAATTGTATGTGGATGATATGATAGTAAAGTCCAAAGATAGAATGGGACATATAAAAGCTTTACGCAAATTTTCCACTCGCATAAAAGAATACAAAATGCGATTGAATCCACAAAAATGCACCTTCGAAGTAACTTCTGGCAAGTTACTCGGATACGTAGTAAGAACACGTGGTATTAAGATCGATTCCTCTAAAATAAAGGCAATTGCTTACATGCCTCCCCCTCAAACAGAAAAAGAAATTAGGGGGTTCCTTGGCAAATTGCAGTACATTAGTCGATTCATCAACAAATTGTCTATGACTTGCGAGCCAATATTTAAAAAACTTTAAAAAGAGGAAAAACATGAATGGGACGATCAATACCAAAAGACCTTTGAGAAAATCAAAGATTATCTCAAAAGTCCACCAGTTTTAGCACCACCAGTACCCAAACTACCTCTTAATCACAGTTACAGACACGGCCACAGGCGCCATGTTAGCACAAGAGGTAGAAAAAGTTGAGCGTGTAATATATTACATAAGTAAAAAGTTCATTAAATATGAAATAAAATATAGCACCTTGGAAAAAACGAGTCTAGCATTAGTGTAAGTGACTAAAAAATTACGACATTATATGCTACCACACACCACTCATGTAATTTCTCAACAAAATCCGATAAAGTATTTATTTGAACAACCACCTATACAAGGAAGGATATCCAAGTGGTTGGTGATGTTGGCCGAATTCGAGCTAAAATATATTCCTGAAAAGTCAATGAAAGGAAAAGTGATTTTGGATTTTCTAGCCCAACATCCAATTCAAACAAGTCATGCAGAAACTACTCATCTTCCGGATGAAGAGATTCTCATGACACAAGATGACAAATGGGTAATGTACTTCGACGGTGCGTCCAATCAAAAAGGATGTCGCGTAGGGGTGTTACTCATAAGTCCAGAGGGAGCATATACTCCAATCTCTGTCAAATTAGACTTTGAGGTTACTAATAATACCTCGAAATGTGAAGCGTGCATTATTGGATTAGAAGCAGCCGCTAGCATAGGTGTGAAAAAATTAGAGGTATATGGAGATTCTAGTTTGATTATAAATCATTATTGAAAAAATGGAAAATAAAGAACTCCACAATGATATTATATCTCCCAAGCACACCTAGGGAAACTCATCGAGCATTTTGAACATATTGATTTTAAATATCTCCCAAGGGATGATAATCAATTTGCCGATGCGCTAGCAAAATTAGCCTTAATGATCAACATTCCAGATCACTTAAATATGATGCCACTATGCGTTGATAGAAGAGAAGAACCATCATATTGCAACACAATAGAGGAAATAAATGACATTGAAGGAGATAATCCTTGGTATGATCATATCCTCCAATATATTACCCATGACACATACCCTGAAAATACTTCATTGAAAGACCAAAGAGCCTTAAGAACACTTGTGGCACAATACAGTCTAGTAAACGGTCATCTATGCAAAAAAGGACCTAATGGTCAAAGCTTATCATGTATAGACCAACCCGAATCCACACGCATTATTGAAGATACTCACAAAGGTGTTTGTGGACCTCACATGAATGGAAAAATGCTTGCAAATATGTCAAAAAATGTCCAGAGTGCCAAATGTTCGCTAATTTACAACACCTTCCACCATCCGAACTATACAACCTCACTTCCCCTTGGCCTTTTTCAACATGGGGAATTGACATAATTGGTAAAATTTCTCTAACAGGAGCAGGAGGCACGAGTACGTATTAGTAGCCATCGATTACTTTACCAAGTGGATTGAGGCTGCTTCTTACGTGAATATCACTTCTAAACATGTCGCAAAGTTTCTCGGACGAAACATATTTTGTAGATAAGAAGTTCCACATGAACTAATCAGTGACCAGGGATCTCAATTCAAAGCTGAAGTCAAGACCTTCTTAACTCGTTATAAAGTAAAACATCATCACTCATCTCCATACAAACCTCAAAGGAATGGAGCTGTAGAATCGGCAAACAAAAAAATAATAGTCATCATTAAGAAAATGGCAGAAAATTATAAAGACTGGCCGAATAAACTACACTTCGCATTGTGGGGTTATAAAACATCCATACGAACATCAATAGGGGTGACTCCATAATCCTTAGTTTTCGGAATGGACGCAGTTCAACCAGTTGAACTGGAAATACCATACCTACGCAGCGTACTCGAAAGTAAGATACCAGAAGCTGAATGGGTAAGAGCAAGGTATGAAGAACTTTTACTCCTCGATGAACGACGATTAAGAGCTTTGCATCATGTACAAGTCTACCAACGTCGCATTGCGCGTCATTTTTAAAAAAGGGTAAAACCCAGAAATATCAAAGAAGGTGACTTTGTACTAAAGGAAGTTAGGGGTCCACCAATCGATCCAACAGGGAAATTCAAGCCTAATTGGATAGGTCCGTTATTTAAATCCTATCATGAGGAGCCGTCAGATTAATGGATATTGGAGGAGATGAAATTAGCCAAATAATAAACATTGATCGACTTAAAAAATATTACATATGAAACCCGGATAAACTCGTTCATTCATTAATTAAATCATTTTTAGCATTCAATCGAAAGATTCTAAGTGTTATGCACTTTACCGAATAACACGACAAATCACATAATACTTGGGGGTAAGGTAAATTAAAAAGATCATTCTAATTGTTCAGATTTTTTCGAACATCACGAAAAACTCTTCACACTTGGGGGGTAACAATGCAAAAAAAAAAATAATTAATGCTTGTCGCACAGGTATTGCGCGCAACTGGAATAGTTGCGCGCAGATGTCATGCGCAAAAAATTTTTTTGCGCGCGACAGGTTCGCGCAACCTTGTATGTTCCGCTCGCCACCTGACGATGAACTATGAGCCCGAATTTTTATGCTTGAAAAAAGTTTCGACTTTTACTTGCGACAAAAAGAGGGCGTTTCTCAAAAATAACATATACTTGGTAAATAAAAAAAAATTAAACTTTGATTTGAATGTTTTCTTTTAAACAAAGTTTGATTAATTTTGTACATTTAATTTCTATTTAAGAAATTAAAGAAAAAATATATAAAAAAAGATAATAATATACAATAAATAAAAAAGGAAGAACTACGCAAAGACCTGATTTCGTATTACGAATACGTAGGCAATCTTTATGATCCGGTCATATCAAAATTTAAAAAAAATAAAGCTCATTTTTATTTTATTCAAAATCCAAAAGAGAGAGACATTATTAAATTAGATAGTAAATGACAAAAAAAAAACATAGTAGTGATTACACTTTATTCGAATTAAACTAATGATAAAATTGTGTAACACTCTAAGGTTTTACTATATCCTCAATTGTCACAGATGATGGAGGAATAGTTTTCATCGCAGTATTTTCAGAAGCCTTGGAGCTCTCCCCTACACTCTTCTTTTTCACCCAAACATTGTTTTTCAATCTAGGGATTGGGGCCTTTGCAACCCGTTTTCCTTTCCCTTTGACGATTGGAGCTTTCTTGCGAGTGTTTGGTGAAGGTTCTTTTATTTTCACACCTTGTTGCGCGGGTTTGGAGAAAGCTTTCCTTTTTGTTTCCTTCGAACTAGCCTTAGGAGATGAGAAGTCTAATTTTCTTCTCACTCCTTTGTTTTGGCCACTAGAAGGAGTAGTAGTGGTTGAATGCATCAAAGGCTTAGGTAGATTGTGAGCAATGGCGGCTTGAAGTTCAAATCAAGCCTTGTTTAATTCGCCCTTATCCGCCGCATTCATCCAAGCTTTGTAAAAGGAAGATAATACAATACTTGATGTAGTATTTTGTACTACCCACCTATGAAGACTTGACCAATATTCCATCCAAAGAGGAATTCTTTCGGGTTTAAAGATCACATCTTTAGGGGCATCACAATCTTGTGGGGGAATGATTTGTTTCATCCCGTATTGTCTCATTACCTTACAAGGAAAAATATAAGTGGTACTAGATAGGCCTAGAAGCCTAATATAAGGGCAATTAAAACTATTTCCCACCATACTACTTTTGTTCCACCAAGGAATCACAAAGCATATGTTGGGAACCCCGTGACAGAAAAACGACGTCCATTCTTCTACATTCTTATGCTTGTAAAGAATTCGACGTCTAGGGAATGTCCTTACTCCGTTAGCTTCAAGATTTTTTGGCTGATCAACAATTCGCAAACGCTCCATAAGCCAAATCTAAAAAAAAAAAAAAAAAATTAGTTTGCGATTTACACAAGCAGGTGGCGCGCGCATCAAAACCAGTTGCGCGCGCCAAACGCATGCATCGTAGAAGATTGAGCTGGTCGTTCCAGCGCGACTTCATGACTTGCGCTGGAATACGTTGTAAAAAAAACAAACGTGTAATTGATAAGTGCATAATATACTATATTTTTAGTCCCTAATATTAGTTTTATTATTGCCTTTTATTTATTATTTTAGGAATTTATTTACATTTATGATTTTAGTATTATATTCATATTAGAGTTATTCTTTTTATTATGTTTCTTATATTATAAGTACTTAATAAGTTTATCATTATTTTGTGATTAGGAAATGGAGACAAATTACTTCCCACTAGCTCAAAGTCACGTGAGGAGCAAGGAATTGCAAATTAAAAAGAAATAAAAGAAAAGAAAAAGGATAAGGAGGAGTGCCTAACTATTAGGCGTGTAAACCAAAGAACTAAAACTCAGTGCTCATCTTTAATAAGAGCTCTAATTCATCCGAAATTCAAGGCAAGAGATAGAGAAGATGAATTTCTATCCTATTCTACAATTCTATCCCTTCAAACCCAAAAAACCTAGGTTGTTTTCGTTTATAAAATCCCCAATTACCCCTCCTAGAAAACACACAAGTATTACCACAAAAATACGGGAAGTTCGTGAGGCTTAGTAGAGCACGAATTGGTCCAAGGTTGATCGATTGGGTGGTATTGGAAGGCGAAGGGACGAATTTGACGGTGGATTCGAGCAGCGACTGCTTGTTTTCTTGGCTCAGTTCATAAGTTCTCCTTAATTTACTCCTCATCTTTTAATTTTGTGATTAATTTGGTTGCTTCTACTTGGTGAATTAGATTTAATTTGATCTCTAATTTCCTGATTTATATTTCGTCGTTTAAACGCTGAGTATAATCGTATTTCAATGTTCTAGTTGGTATTTAATTGATTCACATATTCTTCCTTGTTTTTATATGAACGTTTAATTTACTTATACTTGTAATTGAGTACACGATTGCTAGTATGAAGTAATAAGACTATGCTAAATTATTACTTGATGCGGCATTATTTGATAATTTAGAGTGAATGACTCGATATTACTAGATTGAGCGGCTTAATCGTAGTTTTGTTGAGTTTGTGGGTTGATCTAATAAATCAAGTTTATTGGGGTAGAAAGTGTATTAGTAAGATTCTGATTTCTAGTGAGCTACACATGTCAAATCGACTGCGGCGGTAATTTGAATACCTAAATATTAAGTTGAATATTGAAGGAGACTATATGAAGGAAGTTGGGAATTAAGTTATGATCGATTTGTTATCACATTGGTGGTTTGCTTGTTGTCTATTTTTAAACAATAGATTAGTATATTATTTTTATCTTGTTTGGCTTAGTTACTCGTTCAATTACCCCCCCCCCCCCAATCTCATGTACATAGTGTGAATAATACTCTTTTAAGTATATAGTTTATGTTTCGAGTTGATTTTTGGTTTATAGAGTTAATTAATATCCTCGTGGGTTCGACCCTTACTTACCTTTTCTACTAGTTGTTAATTTTTTTTGAAGGTTTAAGTTAGGTAATTTATTAATTAATTTTATACGGTAAACGATACGTATCAAATTTTGGCGCCGTTGTCGGGGAGATTATTTTTAATATTCTAAAATTCAAGGTTTAACTCGGTTATGCTTACTTGTTAATATGTATGAGTATTGTTGTTCCGGAGTACATAATTATTTTGAAGCTTTTTATGATGCAAGTTCATTTGATTATCTAATGTTAACTATTACTTCCTGAAAATCCTTTAATAAGTAGACTTATATTATTTAGCTATTAGTGTGCTTGCATATGATTTCGTGCCTAATTGTGTGTTAGTCGAGTATCTTTATGAACACTAATTTTATTAGCAGACTTGTAATTGGTTTTTATATCTTTTAGAAGTCAAAATATAAATTAGTTGAGTTATAAATAATTCTAAACTAAACTGATTAACAAAGGTAGGTAGAGTACCCAATGAAATTAAATTATTGAGCTTTACCTCTGTTTGATGCACATTGAAATTCAGGTCAACTTGTTCTGCTAGCAATAATGTGCATCAAATGATTAGATTGCTCAAAAGGATTCTTGTACTTGTTTACTTTCCCACTTTGTTTTTGCAAGTATCAATCTTGGATGAGAGATCTAATAAAAGAACTATTAATAAAATTGAATTATGCATGTTATAAAAGTGTTCTAATAAGACCTGACAGAAGTAATTTGACAGAATAAGGTCGGTTATAGCTAGCTTTACATGTTGAATTTTGATATATAGATACATGAGCATTGGTACGACTAATCCTAGATACAGGGGAACCATTTTGTCAATATGTTGGATTACTAATCTAATGGTCATATTATTACTTTTCAGATGTTAAATTGCTGATTTTGCTACTGAAATTTAGTATATTTACTGCCAAATACATGACATTTAAAATTTCTTGTCTAAAGATCTGATCTCATTACTTCAGAACTGCTAAAGCTAAAAAACAATCTGACCAGAATATTATAGATAATTAGCAAAGCCTCACATGTTGAATTTTGACAGGTGCATGTGTGATTGTATGCCTAATCCTAAATTCAGGGAGACCATTTTGCTAAAAATTTGTTGAAATGCTAAACTGATACACATCTACTTGAGTAAAATTTGAGCAAAATTAGTTGTGAGAATTTGCACATGACAACCGATGATTTCATGAGATTGCTTGGTCGGGTTCATGTAATTTCTTAGCTTGTCTGATGCTTCTAAATTTCAGCATACTTACTGTTAGAACCACTTATAATTAAACATGTCTTGTTTGATCTGAATATCTGATATCAACCCTTGATTTTGCCTATATTTTAGTTCTGACCAGAAATTCATTTTCAACCTACGTTTATGCACTAATATCACAGGCTCATCTCTCATTAATTTCTATTTTCTATATAGGTGCATGTACGCGTACGATAAAGAAGCAAGACTTCAGCGCATAAGAGCGTACATAGACTTGATATACGAAGCGAAACCAGAGGAGCTTCTTAATATTTTCAGTGCTGAACCAGCACTTGAATTAGAAAATCCATTGCCAATCAAATATAACAACATGGCAGAACAGACCTTGAAAGAACTTGGAGCCCCTAAAACAGGAGAAGATCCTCTCTGCATTGTCTTTCCAGAACTAGAGAATCCCCTCTAACTGAACTTAGGTTTCCTTAATCTTTTCCCTAAATTCTATGGGAACCAGGTGAGAATCCTTATAGACATTTAAAAGAGTTTAAAGTTGTATGTTCTTCTATGAATCCAGAAGGAATAGAACAGGAAAATATTAGATTGCATGCTTTTCCTTTTTCTTTGCAAATTCTTGGGCAGAATTGGAAAAAGTTTTTCTTGAAAGATTCTTTCCTGCGAGTCGTATAGGTTCTATTAGGAAGGAAATTTGTGGAATTAGACAGAATAATAATGAGTCTTTATATGAGTACTGACAATGTTTTAATAGGCTTTGTTCATCTTGTCCACAACACCAAATAAGTGATCAATTGTTAATTCAATACTTTTATGAGGGTTTGTTACCTAATGATAGAGGTATGATAGATGCATCTAGTGGGGGTTGCATTAGTTGATAAAACACCGACTGAATCTAGAAAATTAATCTCTAATATGGTTCAGAATACACAGCAGTTTAGTACTAGAAATGATGTTAAAAGAGTAAATGAAATTGATATAAGTGGTATTCATAATCAATTGCAAGAAAATTCTCAACAAATTGCTACTTTGACTACTCTTGTTTCTAAAATTGCTAGTAATGAGTCTAAATCCAGAGTTTGTGGTGTTTATCCTGATTTTTCTCATGCTACTGATGAATGTCCTACTTTACAGAGTGAAGATGTTAATGCCTTAGGGAGTTTTTCTGGTCAACAAAATAGGAAGTATGATCCTTTCTCACAAACTTATAATGAAGGTTGGAAAGACCAACCTAATCTAAGGTATGGCAATAGACCACAATTTCAACAGTTTAATCAATTTAAGCAACATGGTCAACAAAACCCACCACCTAAAACTGCTAGCCCTTCATTAGAAGACTTGGTGAAACAGTTAGCAAACCAAATAGGACAGGTTCATGATCATGGTGTTGAATACCAAAAGAAAACTGACATTCACCTACATCACATAGACACTCAAATAGGTCAAATAAGCACTACTCTGAGTGATTTGGAATCTCAACTCTCGAATAGACTTCCTTCCAAATGAACATGCTAAAGCTGTAACACTTAGGAGTGGTAAAGAGTTAACAGAACCTAAAAAGAAGAATAGAGTAGTAGAGAAAGAAGTAGAAGTCAGACCTAAGGATGTAGTTAGTGAGTGTAAGGAAAAACATGATAAAGAGAGCGAGAAATAACTTGTAGGGAAGGGTAATTCTGATGTGAATTTTGATGTTTCTCGTTTTAAAGATGTTCCTCCTTTCCCCTCTCGATTTGCTAATCTAAGAAAGAAGCTATGGACAATGAAATTCTAGAGACTTTTAGGAAAGTTGAAGTTAATATTCCTCTTCTTGATGCTATTAAGCAGGTGCCATGCTATGCAAAGTTTCTTAAGGAACTTTGTACTAATAAAAGACAATTTTGCCCTTCTGAGAAGGTAAGTATGGGGGAAAACATTTCAGCAGTAATTCAAAAGAAACTTCCCCCTAAATGTAAGGATCTTGGCATGTTTTCTATTCCATGTAAAATTGGTAACTCTATTTTTGAAAGATGCATACTAGACTTAGGTGCTTCAATCAATGTCATGCCTAAATCTGTATATGATACCTTGAATGTTGGTCCTTTGTCTAAGACTAATGTGGTTATCCAACTAGCTGATAGATCTAATGCATTTCCTTTGGGAGTTTTAGAAGATGTACTTGTTCAAGTGAATGAATTAGTTTTTCCTGCTGATTTTTATGTGCTTGATATGGGTAATAGATCTGATAGTGTTCCTTTATTGTTGGGTCGACCTTTTCTAACGACTTCTAAGACTAAAATTGAAGTTCATGAAGGTAATCTAACAATGGAATTTGACGGTGAAATGATTAAATTCAACATATTTGATGCTATGAAATACCCTAATGATATCAATAATGTTTGTTCTATCGATTCTTTTGATGCATGTGATTGGATGGCTCAAGATGTTTTTTATGAGTGGTGTGAAAATTTGTTTGCAAATGGTGTTTTTGGTGATGTTAAAAAAACAGAATTGGTTGATTCTTTTGTAGCATCGTCTAATGTAATTGAATCTGATGTTTCTAATGGATGCGAAAAATCTTTGCCTTCTGTTGTGCCTAAATTGATTCCTTCTATTGTTAAGCCACCTGAATTAGAATTGAAACCCCTTCCCTCTAATATGAAGTATGCTTATTTGGGTGATAATGAGACTCTACCTGTGATTATTTCAAGTTCTTTAAATGAATCTCTAGAGACTAGGTTATTGAATTTGCTTAAAAATCATAAGGAAGCATTAGGATGGACTTTAGCTGACATAAAAGGCATTAGCCCCGCTATGTGCATGCATAAAATTTTCCTTGAAAAATATGATAAACCAACTAGAGAGGCTCAATGTAGATTAAATCCTTCATGATTGAAGTAATTAAAAAGGAAATCCTAAAGTGGTTAGATGCAGGAGTGATTTACCCTATTTCCGATTCCCAATGGGTAAGTCCAATTCATGTGGTACCTAAAAAGAGTGGAATAACTATTTTAGAAAATAATGAAGGAGAACTTGTCCCTACTAGAGTTTCTAATGGATGGAGAGTTTGTATTAACTATAGGAAGCTTAATCAAACTACTAGAAAAGATCATTTTCCCCTACCATTTATTGATCAGATGTTAGAAAAACTTGCTGGACAATCTTTTTTCTGTTTTCTAGATGGTTATTCAGGTTACACATAAGTACCCATTGCCCCTGAAGATCAAGATAAAACCACTTTTACTTGTCCTTTTGGTATATTTGCTTTTAGAAGAATGCCTTTTGGTTTATGCAATGCTCCTGGAACATTCCAAAGATGCATGATGAGTATATTTTCTGATTTGATTCAACAAGATATGGAAGTGTTTATGGATGATTTTACAGTTTTTGGTGATTCATTTAATAGATGTCTTCATGCTTTATCTCAAGTTTTGAAAAGATGTGTTGAAACTAACCTTGTTTTGAATTTTGAAAAGTGTCATTTTATGGTTGAACAGGGTGTAGTTCTTGGTCATATTGTTAGTGCCAAGGGTTTAGAGGTTGATAAAGCTAAAATTGATGTCATTAGTTATTTGCCTTATCCTACATGTGTAATCCCCCGTATTTTTAAAATATTTTATAAATAAAATTTTATTTTATTTATAATATTTATTTGTTATTTTTCGGAATTTAATTTCAAAAGTTTCAAATTATTAATCTGGGTCGAAAATTACTTGAACAAATTATTTTATGCACCGTTATTCTACAATTTATGTCCAATCAAACAAGCCTAACCCATTTGTTTACTTAATTGACCCATTATTTTTATGAGGCCCAATCTTCCTTTTTACCCTACAATAATTCTCTCCTATAAATACCCCATGAATCTCCAAAATTTTCCCACACAAAAAGGTTAGTCTTAATTTCTCTCTCCTTTGTTTTATTAATTTGTATAATTATAATTACTGATTTATGAATTTTGATTTTATTGTTTGAAAGTAATTTAATTAGTATCAAGTTGTATTTTGATGATTAAACTGTGTCATAATTTTCAAATTTTGTAAATTTTATAATCTAGGGTTTTTAATTATTGAAAATCATGATTTTAGGGTTTTTATGAACAATTAATTTAGGGCTTCTATAGTAATGATGTTTTGAAATTTTGGTAATTATAACTACTAATTAGTTTAACTTAATTCCAGATTATTTTGAACACTTAAATTCGTGTTTTAATTTTAAGATTTTCGTTCGTTAATATTAATCCCGTTTTAATCCCGATCAGGTTCTAAACTCATCCGATTTTGATGAAAAAGTAGTGTTTTTCATGTGGAAACAACGTTTTAAGAAAGATTCACTACCTATGGTAGTGAGCACCACCCTCTAGTGGCCAAATTCAGCCTCTAAATATGATTTTCAGGAATTTTTTGATTTTAACGAAAAAATTTTATACTTAAAATATTATCCTTGAGTTTGATTAATAAAATTAATTATGTTTAAAGTTAATTAAGCATAAATATATGTTTTTATTGAAGTTTTAAGTGTTGGAAATAGTTTCTAAATATTACTTTTGATGTTTTATAAAGAGGGTTTAATCACCCATTAAAAAGGGAGATTATTAGGGGTTTTTAAATAATTTTAAGATTTTTATTACACTTTAAACTTGCTGTAATTTCATGTATAAGAGCGTATTTTAAGGTTTTTATGAAGAAAATTTAAAGAACTATATATAAGCCTTTAATTTTAACTAAAGGGAAGGTTTTAAAGTGTTGTTTGATTTGGATTTTGAAGGTTTTAAAGTAAGTTAGTATTGCTGTAAATTTGATTGATTGGGTATTGATTGAGATGCTATTATTTGGTTTAGGAGAAAAGTTTATTGAAGGTGATTTCTAGATAGTAAAGTGGCATACCAATTCGTTTATTCAAGGTACGTACAAGTTACGAAACCTTGCTTGTAGGTGCATGTTTAAGGACGAATCGAGAACTTAGAATCATGTTAGGAACTTGTGGATTGGTTGAAATTGTATGGTAGTAATTGTGGTTAATGTTTGATGTGACAGTTGGTTTTGATTCAAGTATGAGGATTGTGTATTAATTTAACTAAATATAAATGTTGCTTGTCACTAATAAATCAAGAATTGAAATGGGAAAGTTGGTTTATTTGATTGAATTGATATTGGATTGATTGTGTTGTTTGCCTATGAGTCATCACCAAGTCTAAACCTGTAAATCACGTAAATTGCAAGATGGATGAGCAATAAAACTCTGGATTGGTGCACTTCTGGAGTAATGACAATCAGGGGTTGGGGTACACGGGGTATCAGCCGTGTACTTTTATCGAGGTCGTCTAATCTGCGAGTCTCCTATTTCAAATATTTTTTTTTTAAAACTAGGAGTTAGTTGAGATCTCATACTAACTACGGTCACGGAGTCGCGCCCGTGGTCGTTGGATGTTTATTGATGTTTCCGAAAGGAGGCATGGGGTTTTCTTTTATTGATGTTCCAAATGGAGCATGGGTTGGACAACCTTGTCTATTGCGTAATCCAATGAATAAAAATAAATATTTACCTATTATTAATTAATGAAGTCTTAGTAATATAAATAGTTGAGTCATGTGCCGAGTCTATAACTAATAATGCATGGTGATTGATTGTTAGTAGCATGTTAGGGATTTCTTTTATGTTTTGCAGCTTGTATGTACTCAGCTTTGCTGATTGCGTGCTTTTGTGTGTGTCTTTCTTTGGTCATGGTCTTCGCCTTTCAATGACCCTATGACGATCCAATTTTTACACTTGTAATATTGGGGAGCAGATTAACCACAGGTTCTTACATATGCAGCATTCGCATCAGGGTTATGGGATTTTGAGGGGAGAGTTGGTTATTATTCGCAGTTTATTTCGTTTCATAAGTTTGAATTTATTTAAACTCTGGTTTTATTTAATTACTACTTTTGTTGGGTTTTGAATAAGGGCCTTAATGGTTCCAAGTTGTATGACTTAATTTGGTTTCATTCGTTGGTTTTGAAACTTATTTATATAACTGATTTAGTTTTTCCGCTGCTAATTTTTGATATAGCCTTAACGTTTGAACACGTGGCGGTAGCACGCTAATAATTCTCTTGAATATTGTTCAAGGTCCTCACAGGTTTAAAAAGAGAATTATTGGGGTGTTACAACATGTGTTCGTGAAGTTAGATCATTTTTAGGACATGCTGGCTTTTATTGACGCTTTATCAAAAATTTCTTCAAGATTGCTTTCCCCTTATGTGCCTTGCTTGCTAAAGATGTTGTTTTTTACTTTAACGATGAATGCAAAAAGGCTTTTGATGATTTAAAAGACAAATCGACAAGTGCTCATGTAATAAGACCCCCGGATTGGTCTTTGTCTTTTGAAATTATGTGTGATGCTAGTAATAAGGCTGTAGAAGCAGTTTTAGGTCAAAGGAAGTATAAAGAGTCTTATGTGATCCATTATGCTTCTAAATCACTAGATTATGCTCAATGCAATTACCTGTAACTGAAAAAGAGATGTATGTTGTTTTTGCTTTAGAGAAGTTTAGGCCCTACTTACTTGGCACTCGTGTGATTGTTTATTCTGATCATGCAGCTCTTAAATATTTGTTAAAGAAGAGTCACTCAACACCTAAGTTGCTTAGGTGGATGCTTCTATTACAGGAATTTAATGTGGAAATTAGAGATAGAAAGGGTGTTGAAAACCCAGTTGTTGACCATCTAAGTAGAATTTTACCCAGAGAGGATTGGCCTTTAATAACTGAATTTTTTCCTGATGAGCATCTTGCTTCTTTATATAGTGTTGACACTCCTTGGTATGCTGATATTGTTAATTATCTAGTGGCTAGAACATTTCCCCCTACACTCACTAAAGCTCAAAAGAATAAGATTAAATTTGATTCTAAATATTATCTTTGGGATGATCCATATCTATGGAAATTTTGTTCTGATCAGATGATAAGAAGGTGTGTAGATGAATCTGAATTTTCTTCAATTTTGAATTTTTGTCATTCTCTTGAAGTTGGTGGCCATTTTGGACCTCAATGAACCGCGTTTAAGGTACTGCAATGTGGTTTATATTGGCCTTCATTATTTAAAGATGCTTACGTGTTTTGTAAATCTTGCGAGCAATATCAGAAAACAGGTAATATTTCTAAAAGAAACGAAATGCCTCAACATGGAATCATAGTTTGTGAAATCTTTGATGTGTGGAGAATTGATTTTATGGGTCCCTTTCCTTCTTCTTTTGGTAATCTTTACATTGTGCTTGCTGTAGATTATGTTTCTAAATGGGTGGAAGCCATAGCTACCAAAACTGATGATGCCAAAACTGTTGTAAAGTTTGTTAAAAGTCATATTTTTAATAGGTTTGGTATGCCAAAAGCCATAATCAGTGATAGGGGAACCCATTTCTGTAAAAAAAACTTTTGGCACCCTTCTTGCAAAGTATCATGTGACACATAGAGTAGCAACTGCTTAACATCCCCAAACTAATGGGCTAGCTGAAGTTTCAAACAGGGAAATCAAATCTATCCTAGAGAAGGTGGTGAATCCTAATAGGAAGGATTGGAGCCTTAGGCTAGAATATGCATTATGGGCTTATAGGACAGCTTATAAAACACCTATAGGAATGTCACCATATCGCCTTGTGTTTGGTAAAGGATGTCATTTACCTGTAGAACTCGAACATAGGTCTTATTGGGCTGTAAAGCAGTGTAATATGGATTATGAGTTGGCTGGACAACAAAGGAAACTTAGTTTACAAGAGCTAGAGGAAATTAGATTAGAGGCTTATGAAAATAATCAAATTTATAAAGATAAGACTAAGGCTTTTCATGATAAGAGAATTATTAAATATGATTTCACTGTAGGACAAAAAGTTCTTTTATATAATGCTCGTTTGAAGTTGTTCCCTGGAAAACTTAGGTCTAGATGGCTAGGACCTTTTGTTATTACTAATATTTTTCAACATGGTGCAGTTGAAATTAAAAGCTTGGAAACTAGTAAGGAGTTTAAAGTAAATGGTCACAGGTTGAAACCATTTTATGAGTATGACTTTGCAGGGATGATTGAAGAAATTGACCTTCAATCGGACTGAGGAAAGAATTATGTCGAGCCAATGACTCTAAACGGAGGCGCTGCTTGGGAGGCAACCCAAGATTATTTTTCTACACTTTCTTCCTTTCTTTTTTTATTTTTTATAATAGTTCATGTCGTTTTGTGTATTCTTTTCGTTCTGTAATTAGCACCAGCCTTATCCTAAGTTGCTCTGGCAGATATAACAAGCATAATATAAAGGGCTAGACAGGACATTTCACTCCCTTCTTGATGCTTCACCGTGCTTCAAGTTTAAATATTGTGATTTTTAAAGAACTTAACACAAACTTGGAGCTGATCCATAAACGTTAAAATAGCTCACATGACCAGCTAAGCTTCTCTTTTCCTTTCTTAACTTTGTTTTCATTGAGGACAATGAAAAGTTTAAGTGTGGGGGGGATTGAATATTTGAAATTGGTTTGGTTTTGTGGAGAGAATGCTATTTGAATGGATATTTGGTTGTAAATGTGTTGATTAAAATAGCTCGTTCTTGAGTGGATTGCTCCTACTATAAAGGAGGTGCTGCCGAATATTAGATTTAAAAGTTTGTTATTTTAGA